AATGCCCGACCTACCCCACCAAAGAGTAAATCGAGCAATACCGTTTGAAAATTGCGGTGTCGATTATTTCGGGCCAATCATGCTAAAAATGCAAAATCAAAATGAGCCCAGCGAAATCAAACGTTGGGTTGCATTATTCACTTGCATGACCACCAGACTCGTCCACTTGGAAATGGTCGAAGATCAAAGTGCAAGGACATTCTTACTCGCTCTGAAGCGTTTCTGCGCTCGTAGAGGAGTACCAAGAACCATGATCTCCGACAACGGAACCAACTTTGTTCTTGCCGGAAAGATCCTAAAGGCAACAGAACATCGTGAGGACACATTCCAAGACTTCCTCACTGAAAAAGGCATTAGATGGAAATTCATCACACCTTTAGCCCCTTGGAAAGGCGGCTTTTACGAAAGAATGGTTGGATGCGTCAAAAAGACCCTCGACAAACTACAAAATCCACGAAAATTCCATCTGGATGAATTTCCTACCGTACTCCACGAGTTGGAAGCAATTGTGAACTCCAGACCATTAACCTACCCTGGTAATGAAATTGAAAACTATATTATTCGACCAATCGATTTCGTGACCCCAGGGTTACAATTGATTGAAGCGAATACTTTAACTCACAATGTGGACGATCCAGAATTCGATCCCCAAACTAATCAAAATGTACAAAAGTTGGTAAAAAACCTTCAACGTGCACACTAAAGAACTTGAAAAAATGTGGCAAATTTGGAAAGACGTCTATTTAGCAGAATTACGCGAAAATCAGAAGAAGCTCAATGCCCAAAATGGTCAATCCACTTCGATTGTACCAAAAGTTGGAGACATGGTTCTGATCATCGATACCAACAACAAAGGAATCAAAGCACCCCGAGGGTCTTGGCCTAAGGGTATTATCACGGAACTGATCAAAAGTCCGGATGGCCAGGTGAGAGCAGCACTCCTACGGACCCCTAGAACGAGAATTATCCAACGAGCTATCTCTCAGCTTATTCCGCTAGAAATTACTACGCAAATCGACATACCTAAAGAAACGGTTAAATACACAAGACCAAAAAGAAATAATCAATTTACTGGTAACTATAACGAAAATGATCCCGATGACGCTTGGTAGCACCAAATTATAAATTACATCTTAATTAGCTTATCAAGACCGACGGACCCGGAACCACCCCTAATTACCTTAAAAAACCAACTATAAAACTAAGCCACCCTAACCAACATTAATGAGTCGCCCACGCAACAAAGAAGCCGTAAGCAAAGCCGCGGGAGCCTCCCCGGCGATGCTCCAGAAGACATCGACCACCAAGATCAACGCGAAGCCACCAGCCGAAGACGTGCCCATCCCAACTTCTCAGCCTCTGCTCGAGACCGCCCAGAGGGACGATAACCACAAGGAGCCGGCTCAAGTCAAGCCGCGTGGCCCCTTTCGCAAACGTAAACTCAGTGCCGGTAAATTCAATCGGAGGGACTCCCATATACAAGTTGTTACAGTCCCACTTCCTCCAGTGGCAGGCCAGAAGTCGACGATGAGTGCCGCCGAAAGGACAAGCGCTGCCTGGGGAGGCCTTCTCGGGCGGCTCAACGAGGTGGAAGTGATCCGCCAAAACCCCGCGAACGCCGACGACCCAATTTGCATCGTAGAAGGGTGCGAAATGCGCCACTCCATCCGCCACCACTTATCCACCATCAAGCGAATCCGTGATCGCATCGAGCTTGCCGCCAAACTGCAGGTGCACTATTCTTCAGGTCTTAACCCAGCTAATTTATAGTTGTGCCTCAACTGCTGCAAGGCACACCAGGGCATCTGCGCACATATGCCCGAAGTCTGCCGTTTGTGTGGCGATGGCTCAGTCCACCATCCCTTGATCTGCCCTCTGCGCTTACTAGAAGATGATGACTAGTACAGCCAAGCACACTGCATGACGGACCTCCCACATCGACCCGCCGATCCCGATCCCTATCACCGATCTCACGCCGCAATTTCATACCCATTCATAGTTATGTATTGTCTTCACCCCGTTCGTGTGTTGTGAATAAAAGACCTGGAGTCTCATACGTTGAGCATTTGCATTTATGGTGTTCCTCTCCGGCTGCGGCTTTAAGACCGTATGGTCGATTTCTCGTCCCCCGGGAGGGCATCGCGCCCAAATGCGGCGCAGATGCAAAATTACAAAAAATTCTAATACAAACACTCGTCCCCCCGGGAGTGTCACGTCCCCGTGACGTTCACGGTTACCTAACCTTACAAATTCCCCAAATAACTATAACTTAATACAATCTGCTGCTACGAGCAGCCCTTCTCCTTCTTGCCGGCAATCCTCCGAAGCCCGCAGAGCCGTGCTGATTGACCGTGCTTCCCGTCTCCTTCTCTATGGGCGTCTCCGCGATCCAGGGCCACAACATCGTGTTCAACTACAAGCCCTCGTCCACCGACGTTCGCATGTCCACTTTGCATGCGGCTCCTCGGCAACCGGAAGATGTCCCTGTATTCCCCGGTGCCCAACTATATAAGCGGCCGCCCTCTCCCGCTCTTCAAGTCGACTTCAACACCTGCGTCTTCCCGGGTTCAAGCTAGCTGTTCGCCACCGCGAGGCTTCGTCTGATTCCGGCCCTCTTCTTCGCCTTATTCGTGCTCGCCTTCATCGCCATCGCCTTTGCCCCATTTCCCCCTTGTCTTCTGTTTGATCGTTTATTGTAACAGACTACCCCACCGGGAGTCTGGAATAAACTGTATCCCCTGTCCCAGTCGTTTGCTCTCCCAGGCTATCGAGGCGCAAATTCTTGTCACAGGTGTGACACAGCCTTTTCGACAAGTGCGAGCGATCCGGAAGCGCGAGTGAAGGTCGTCGAATCCGATGTGGCGCAGAATACGGTGGTGCACTTCGAGAGGGAGCGTCAGGAAGTTCATATCTGGAAGAAGACAACTTTGATATGACTTTGGTTGGGTGTTCCATAAATTCACAAGCCTTGATGGCATAATTATAGCAGAAAAAAATGTTCAACATTCGTTAAAGAGGCAGTCTTTAACGTCTTTGTGGGTATCCGGAAGGCCCATAGTAATCACACTTGATCTACAATTAACAAAATGATAACCAGAAATGCTATGCAATAAATTACTGAAAAAGACAAGCGGGTAATTGGGACCAAAGCAGATTTAAGCTAATTGAAAGACTACGATAGGTTACTTGCTGATTTCGTTGAATTCTAACTGTAACCCTCTTTGGTCGAAGTGGAAATTCCGTACGTGAAATAGCACATCTTGTGCAGAATTTTTTGCTGATTCCGAATCCGTTTTCAAAAGTTGCGGAACCCCTCAGATTAAAAAGTTACAAGCGTTTTTATTACCCAAAATGCCACAAATCGCTTACTTTAAAACGTTCTAAAAATTCCGTAAGATACTTTTGGGAGGAAAGTAAAACATTTTCCGGGGTAAAAAAATGTTTATAGCAAAAAGGTGGTTAGTCAAAATCAATCAAAGTAGAATCTTTCAAAAAAAATAGGTGGACAAAAACAATAAGCTCGGAAACCAGGTCCTTTGACCTAATCCAATGCTAATTAATCGTGGCTGTATGCTTCCGAAAATCGATGGGCAAACATTAAAGGCGAGGGAGAGAAATATGAACTATTAAACATCTGCGTTTTTACCTCCGGGCAAAATGTGAGAGCGATTGGTGTTAGATAAGGTCAATGATTTGCCTTACATATTCGAGTATTTTTATTATTATTTTAATCTCAGTAATTCAGTATTTATCTTAATATTCCTTTTAGTCAGAAGTCAAACATATGCAATCTTACTCACTAAAAAGTTATCTAATTACATGCGGAACTTCAACCAATTCAGCTAAAGATTTTTTAAATAGATTCTAGTCACCTTTCCCCAAATTTCAAGGTCAATTCCGAAAGTTTACATTGCGCAGAACGGGCCCGCCCGACAGAAAATCGGCACAAAACGCTACGCAATGCACCTATTTGCGCTCAACCGCCCTGGGGTATGTGAATTTGGCGATGAAGGGGGAAGGGCAAACATCACGGAAACGGTCGACGATCAAAAAGTTTTTCGAGAATTTACATAACGAGGGGAGTTAGAAAAATTTTTAAAAGTGCAGGTGCGGTAAACAACATGTAAAACATTATAAGGCGGGGATTCCGCGAGGCTCCGTAAGCCGGCGGTACAACTCCCGGTGAAATGGAAAAACGACTACCGGCCAGCCCATTGCAAGCTAAAATATCCCTTGGTATATAAATTCAAATGTGTGTTTTTTTGTCGTGGGGGCTTCTTGACTCTGACGACAACTTCCGGTGCATCTTTTTGTAGATTTTCCCCAACTGCGATTTTTGGTCACTATTCATTTCGATGCCGATTTTGTCCGAACTGTTATATGAATGTGCAATTTACGAATTTTAATATTTTTTCTGCAATAACTCACACTCACTCACACTCACGATATCCGCAGCAGATCAGCAAACTACACTCCCTTGTTTGGCTCGACCACCCGTAGTCTGCCCGTCTTATCACTTCTGCTGATTGCCCATCCCCCGTTCTGTCCCCCACTTTTCGAATAGCTCCACATGGCTCGCGTCAAAGTTCTCGGCGCAAAAATAAGGATACCTTTTTCAGTATAAGTTTTGCCGTAGAATTGGATACGTGATGCCTTAACAGGCCTAATTAAGCTACCTGTAGTCCCAATTCACAGCAAAAAAAAATCATTTTGAGATCTCTGCGCTTTGTAAATTTGGTTGATATCTATTTATTCTGGCAGAAACTATTTACCAAACAGCCAAACAGGATTTACTTTTTATTTCTTCTACTTCAGCACGTTTCAAGGACCATTGCAGGGAACCGAGCAGCCAAAACTACTCAAAAAAACTATTCTGAAAACTCCAGAAAATCCTAAATTTTCGCAAACTAAAAACCAATTAAACTCTCTAATGTTTTTTCTGAGTTCTATGACTATTTTATGGCCCAATAGGTCCCACTGTCATTTAGCCATCTGCAAAAATGGTGCAGCAACTACGCTACGACGGCAAGGTGGCCATCGTCACCGGGGCTGGCGGTGGTTTGGGTAAAACGTATGCCCTCGAGCTGGCCAAGAGGGGCTGCAAGGTTGTCGGTAGGTATTTTAGCGTACTTTAAATATTGTAAGTAGCATCAGTTTTTAATCTGCTACCTACATGTTCTATTTTTAGTGAACGACCTCGGTGGTGACCGTCATGGTACCTCATCTTCTACCTCGATGGCCGATAAGGTAAATGACGATCAAGCAGTTGAAAAAATCGTAAAATTACAGGTTTCCGCCATATTAATCAACTTTTTATACCTATTAAAGACCGAAAACCCGTTACTTAGGTCGTCCAAGAGATCAAATCCGCTGGCGGGCAAGCCGTTGCCAACTACGACTCGGTGGAATTCGGCGATAAGATTGTGAAGACGGCCATCGATAGCTTTGGCCGAATCGGTAAACAAGCCTTTCCAGAAAAACTTAAATTGGAAATAAAGCGTTGAAATTAAGCAAGAACGGCTTTTTAGACATTGTCATCAACAATGCCGGAATCCTGCGTGATGTGTCGCTGCTCAAGATGCAGGACGTCGATTGGGGTGCGTTTTAAAGGGTTGAGACGGCACAAATCTGTTGTACGACGCCTATCGATTAACTTACTATCGATACCTTCCAGATCTTATCTACAAGGTTCACGTGAAGGGAGCCTATTCGGTGACCAAGGCTGCCTGGCCGTATATGAGAGACCAAAAGGTACAGATTTTTATGCTTTTAACAACGTAGACTATAATTTTCAATTAATTGATAAATAAAAATAGAAACATAGAAAGATATAAACGTAAAAATGGATCGAAATAAGGTAATATAATTTAATCCGACGTCTTCAACAAGTTCAATGTCAATTTTTTTAGTACGGTCGAATCATCGTCACCTCATCCAACGCAGCTATCTATGGCAACTTTGGGCAAGCGAACTATTCTTCAGGTATCGTTTTTAAAGTAATGTTTATACCATTTTCACAGCGAAATCCGCCCTGATCGGATTCGCCAACGCCTTGGCGAAGGAGGGCGAGAAGTACAACATTAAGGCCAACACCTTGGTCCCAACCGCTGGATCGAGGTTGACACAAACGGTCATGCCCGAGGTAAGCATTAAAACATACAAAATGGAGGGTAATGAATCCGCAAGCTCGCAGAGATTTTTTCCGGAACGAACTATAAATGCTTAATTTAAGGACCTCGTTAATGCCCTCAAACCCGAGTACGTTACTCCCCTGACCCTCTACATGGTTCACGAGTCGTTCCCGGAAACCGGCAGAGTTTTTGAGGCCGGAGCAGGATGGTATGGACAGCGTAAGTTATAGCTTACCGGCAACCAAATACGACAGATTCGTTCAAGACTAGCTAATGCATTATTTTTAGTGCTCTACTACCGCTCCAACGGCAAGGTCGTCCCCCATGCATCTGTTGAAGATGTCGCCAAGAACTGGGAGCAGATCACGGATATGAAGGGGGCGCACAGCTTGTCCTTCATGAAAGGTATGTCTTAATCGTTAAAAACCCTGTAGGCATGTCGCTTTTGCAAATTTGGGGTTTTAGATGCTACTGCTCATCTTATGGACGCACTGGCTGCCCAGGAAGAGGAGGTATGGCTTTTTAAGCTGGATTTTACTAAGAATTTAAAATCTAAAAAGTCGAAGGCTATTTTAGACTTTAATTTTTAATCGAACAGGTGAAAGTAACCACTATTCTAACTCTAGAACGAGAAAAACGGCACTTCCGGTGGTAGTGGCGGCTCTGACGACTTCCCCTCTGACATCCGCTCCTCCGCCCTCTTCAGGGAAATGAACGAGGGCGTCCAGAAGGAGCCGCACCTTGTCAAGAACGTCAAGGTATCGGAACGTACTCTTTCTAGAATTTTTTTTTACTTTTCAGGCTATCATCCTCTACTCGATCACCGACGGCAAGAACGAGCTCGGGAAATTCAGTGCGTCCAGCGGGCCGAATTCGTAATATTAAAATTTCAGCCCTCGACTTTAAGTCGGCCAACCCATCGGTCTATTATGGTGATATCAAGGGAGGCGAAAAGGCCACGACTACGGTTACCGTATCTGACAACGATTTTACCGAAATCGCCGCCGGAACGCTGAACCCGCAAAAGGTATATTGACGGTCTTAATAAGAAATCGTTAAAATTAACACAAATTCCTTATCATAATATAGCTTATATCGTAGATTTATAGTACTGGCTAAATTGCTATTAAGTCCATTTCAAGTCACCAAATTTTTGATAAACTTAAAGGGCTGGAGAAAGATGGAATCGATGAAAGAGCAAAGAGGTTCGAACCGGACGGGGGTCGAACCAGGGATGGTCCGCTTCGCAGTCCGATGCGCTAGCCAGTACACTAGAGAGTCGAGTGGAGAGGGGCGGCGGAGGGCCCCCACATACCTAGGGCGATTTGCCGCCTGTACCAGAACTGCCATTAGAAATAAAGCAATTTCATGATGATAATAGCTAAAAAATGTTGTAAAAAACCTAGCTAAAGGATGGCAACGTACTTTTCAAATTTCTAGAGGTGTTTTGCTGTCTTTGCGCCTCTTTTTCAGCCAAAACAGTGTCCCAAAACCCCGAATCGCCCAGAACTTGGCCGCCTTCTATCCAATCCAGCCCAAATTTTTACCATCGATGGGTATCACTCAGTCCTTCGTTTATGGAAATTTTTAGTTGAAAACATTGCTAAATGAAAAAGTTATAGCCAATAAACTGGTTTCTTCAAACGCGAGAGGGGTTTTTTGGGGGCGCTTACGCGAGGGAAAGCGTCGATGGTAGCGCCGCGGCGGTCCGTCACCCCGACGGACGCCGGCCCATCTTTCTCCAGCCCTTTAAATGACTTTTTTCAGGCCTTTATGTCCGGCAAGCTAAAGGTCAAGGGCAACATCATGCTCCTCCAAAAGCTCCAGGGACTCATGGACTCGAAGAAGAAGTCCAAACTGTAAAGAACCCCACCTGTATTTGTGATTTTTGTAATATATTCCAAAAATGCCATTTATTGCCATACGTCGTGAAAATAGATTTGCTGATAAAGGTTGACACTTTTAAAGAGTATATCGCTGTGAAAGCAGCCGAAATTTTGTACAGTAACCGGAAGAGGCGAAAAGGAAAAGGGCAATTTTTAGGGGAGAAAGCAGCAAAAGATGATAGTATTGAAACGGAATAGTGGAAAATGGAACTCGCAGACATTGAAAATACGGTGGAAATTGTAGAATTTAAAAAGCATTAATATCGGGCGTTAAGGCCATGGACGAGCTGGTTGGTCAGCTGATCGATATCGTCGTTGCCGCCGCGGTGCATAGTTTTTTGGCGGATTTCCTAAAAATCACGAATCTTTTTTGCATCGCTCTGTTGCTCTCCCTCGCTCTGTCTGTCTCTCCTTCTCTCGCTCGCTCTCTCTCTCTCTCTCTCTCCCCTCCTTCTCCTCCTACCTGAACGCGATGGCTGGAGTTCGGGTCCCTCTGGTTCAACGCATCCAGATGAGTGTTGGCTTCACGTTGTGAGTGGGTCATGGCTGAAATTTAAGGTATTTCTCAGTCTCTCTCTCTCTCTCTCTCTCTCTCTATTGCTACAAAAACTCACTCTCATCCCTCAAATTCCGCACAAAACGATTGGGGGAAACGACGCCGCTGTTGCCACCATGGCTCGACGAGCCATTCTGGACTCGGTACGGGGCGTACGGGGCGAACCTACGAACGCATTGGTAAATTCTGTCTTTCCCTAACAACCTCTGCTCAGTCTCCTGCGTCTCCAGCGTGCTGTACATCGACTTGACGCTGGTGTGCTTCGTCAGTGGGGTGCCATCATCGAGCTAAAAAAGCTTAGTTGGCTTAGGGTCTTTAGAAGCAGTATTCTATGCTCTTGAAGATGGGGTGTAGCCACTTACGCCCATAGTAGCAATCGGAGTCGTCGTGGCAAATTGGTGGATAAGCTCCCGGGGGTTTGTGATCAAATATCCGGTCTTGGTATCGACGACACGGTACGGGTCGAACGTGGAGGCAGCTGAAAATTAGATTTTAGGCTCGAAAAAGACTTGCTTACTTTCGCTCTCTCGCTCTATCTCACGCTCTCTCTCACTCTCACTCTGCCTCTCTCTCTCCCGCTCACTCTCTCTTTTTCTGTCTCTCTCTCTTTCTCTCTTGCTACCCTTTTAATAAATTTTAACAACTTTACAACTTACAGCTCAACGGCCGTACTGGCTCCTCGTAGGCTGGGTAGGCTGGGTAGGGCTCTAAAAGTTCCAAATTGAAGTTACGTTGCTTTTCGTGAAGGCCTACATGCTCCAAATTCTACGATAGCAAGCCGTAAATGGGATAGGAAAGGAAATTAGTATATCCACAGTACCACCGAGTCCAGATCCGCGGCCCGGGCCTCCAGGTCCGGAAGGCCCCCCGCGACCTCCCAGTCCGGTATTTGGCGTGACCGAGGTGGGTTTTGCTGGTCCATGCAGTCCGCTGCCATTGTCTGTATGTGGGCCACGGTTTCCTCTGTCCACTAAAAACGGATTACATGCTAGGGGAGACATGCCGGGGTGTAGGATGCATTAAAAAATGGAAGAATTATGAGCCTTCTATCCGGAATTTTTGTGGACGCCATTTTTGTCATATATAAAACAACGTTATACTGTGCTTTTTGGCCGCTTTCCTGACTTGCCCAGATTAACTTAAGCTTATCATAATGACTATTAAGGCATGAATTTCTATAAAAAATTATAAATAGGCCAGTGGGGAGATTAGATTACGATGGGAAATTTTTTAGCATTTGCGAAAATTTTGGTATTGATCGACGTTAAGAATAGCTAGGAGGATATTAGATTACGACAGGGTATTCATTCTGAACCGTAAGGTATATACGTAGATATCGTTCTCATCCCTGAAAAACATACTGGGTGGCTCGGGTGCGGGCATGGGTGCGGGGGGTGGTTGCGGTCTCTCGGCGCTTCGGCCTCTACCTCCATCCGGAATATTCGGGAAATTGCCGTCGAACACTGACCCCGCGGCTCCCTCGCCTGAATTTTGTTAAAAATTAGGTTTTTAAAGGTACCAGGAAGGGTGGAGTGCCACTCCTTTTCATAGACGTTGACTCCGCCTTGTCCGCGCTCTCCGCGGTCAATTTTTGAGAGTGTGGTGATGGTGACGCGGGGGGTGAGGTCGACTGGGCCACTGAAAAAGTTGGTTTGAGAGTGAGAGCGAGAGATAGAGAGAAAAAGAGAGAGATAAAGAGAGATATAAAGAAAGAGAGAGAGAGAGAGACGAGAGAGTGAGAGAGCGAGGGAGATAAAGAGCGAGAGAGAGAGAGAGGCAGAGAGCGAGAGATAGCAACTGGGAGAACGAGAGATAGCGAGAGAATGGGAGAAAGAGTCGGAGAGAGACAGACAGACCGACAGACAGACAGACATACCGCTTCTTCTCAACACCATCAGCAGCGACGACACCGTCACCGATAGGCGAATAGAACATACGACGCGGCTTCAGCGATTTTGGAAGCTGCGATGGGTCTAAAAACATACGTCCACATACTTAATGACAACTTTAAACCTGTAATCAGCTCTCCGCCGGTCCATCTGTGCTCCGTCATCTCCACACCGGTGCCGGGCCGGTTGCCGTATCCGGAGAATTTCGACCTAAAGTGCGCAATTTTACTCTGGTTTCGTTAATGCGCTTCAGGTATATTTTAAGCTGCACAAGCGGCCTACTCATTGGATTCACGCAGGCGACGTTCTTCTGATGAGCGGTCGTGGTGACGCTTGGTCTCAAAGCGGTTGTATTCATCCTGAAAAATTTGCTTTTGTGAGAATGTTTACATCTGACGCTCCCTTTAAAGAAGCCTCGAGCGCCAGGCTCTAGATTTTTTTCCTACAGATTCCCGATGGATTCTGCAATTCCGCGGCAACCGCAAACGTCACTAGATCGCCTTGAAGGACGCGCCTAATCCAGGAAGCGATGGCGTGCGAGTTACGTGTTCTAGTTCTAGCAGAATCCATGAGGAATACATAAGATCAAACCCATGTCTTTGCCTTGCCAGCCCCTTTAAAAGAGATTTTCCGCCAATTTCTCAGCCCTAATCAATAGGGATTTCACTCAAAATTTAAACCACCCCACCCCTTTTAACCCCAGCCATTTTCTCAGCGGTCTTTTCGCCCGATTCACGGCCTCCATCCCGGACAAAATGGCTTCGAGCCGGCTGGAAAGGGGCCCGGCCTCGGGCTTTACAGCACACAGGAGGAGCCTCACCCCTGTCTCCCCATGGCTTTTCCCCCTTTCCACCCACGTAAAAATATGCCGGCCAGGCGGGCATTCATTGATCGTTAACGGAAAGGTCAATGATTGGCCGGATGGGGGTCGTGGAGGTAGTAAAATGGCAATGAGGAGCAAGCTATGTAGGTAATTAGTGTCACGTGTATTTACGAGAGTATTTAAGGTGTCTGGAGGTGAGCGGGAACCAGTTTCATCCAAAGCAACGGTCAAAAAGATAGCACCGTGAAACTAAAAGTATTTTGATATGACGAAATTTTACAAAATGAGGAATATGATTTTACGGTTTTTGAAATTTTTTAAAAGATACGTTCGAAAATTATGTATACTTTAAACTCGAAATTTAAACGAGGATCCCATTAATGCGTGCAAAGGTATAAAAGGCATAGATTGTGAAAGTATTCGTTTACCTGATTCCGCTGCAGACTCGCGTAGGACGGGCTGGCCTGTCGATTGCCCAGCGACAGGTTGCCGGTGCTGCCGTAGTGGGACATCGACATGGCGGCGCGGTCTTGTAGGTCAAAAACCTGAAAGAAATACCGTTACTATACTTTGTCAATAGAACAGAATTATGCTAGAAAAAACGAAGTACTGTAACGAAAAATACGATCAGAGCCGATTAAAATCCAATATACAAAACAATCTAATGAAGACGTTCGGAGGGCATTTCGTAGCCTAAAAACAGCCGGATATTGAAGAAATGACAGAACAAGTTTAAAAAACCATTTTTGGCAAAATATTACCAGAAGTGGACTTTTCTACAAAATCCAAAAATTATGGTGCTGTCAAGCCATAAAAATCACATTTAAATCCAAATTCTGAATCATAAACTTCGATTAAACCAAATATAACAAAAAGCAGGCCGTATTTATCACGGATCGAAGCCGCTAAAAATAGTGTTGATTGCGGTATCGTTGGAAGTGACTGAAATCAAAGCCTCAACCAGCAGCTATCGGCCAGTAAACAGCGAACAGCTGTGGATCCAGCCAGCCGACAGAGTTGGAGGGGGTGGGTGTAGAGGAGGAGGAGCAAGAGCACGAGAAGTGAGTGACCCCTCGGGGAAAGGGGCGGGCAGAGGAGGCACACCAAGTCGAGAACCAGGTGCCACCACGTCCTGATCCCTGGCTTTAAAGCCGAGGAGAGCGACAATACTACTACGCGCCACCCTCGCATCACACCCTAAACAATGCGCCAATTCGGCTGGGCCGTCGTGGTGTGGTGTGACGTTATGGGGAGCTCGTGCTAGCTAGGGGTGCAGCTGTCGGGGAGGAGGAGGTCGAGTTCACTTTGTGAGATGCAGATTTGAGAGCGCAGGAGGGGATTATCACGTTGGAGCCTTTGGGAAGAGCCAGGGTATAGCAGAGATCCGTGGCTTACATGAAAAATGTCCCATCCAGTAAGGACTACATAAAGCAAAACGCAATAGGTCTTAGCGTGTAAAATCACACGTACTTAGAAATTCGTAAAATCAAGAGCTTTTTCGCATTTTTGGAGATACTTTCGCAAAATCAGTGCCAGGGAAACAAGCTTTTTCTCCAGTGTCTAATTTTTCAAAAAACAGATAAAGCATGTGTTTCCGAACTGTTTTATTAGAATTCACAACCCAAAAAAAATAAAATTTATTACTTAAAAAATCAATTTTCCGCCAAAATTTTCAATTTTGAATATTTGCTCGAGTTTTTCGACAGTTTTACCACTTCAAAAATCGCAAAATATGATGAAACGCTATTAACCTTCTTGCTCTTACGTTATTAGGCATTCTGGACTTGCAGGAAAAATTCAACCCCCCCCCCCGCCTGAAAATGCAAAGAACCTTGTTAGCTTACGAAAGCAGAACAAGAATTTTTCTAACTGTTTTTATGTGACTAATTACGACGTATAAATCCAAGCAATAGTTTACGAATGTTGAATACTTCAAGCAAAATTCAGAGAACTTAAGTTTAAAAGCTCCTGGCTGCGTATTATCCGTTGATGCGCCATCTCTATCCCCCATCAAAACTTGAATAATCTGAAAGGTATGCGAAGTGGAGGCAGAAGCAGCCGGAAAACACTCGGGGACCCCCGGGCTGATCGCCCTTGTTGTCTAAAGGAAACGGAAAAGAAAAAGTCCGACTCCCCGGCCGGTCTCCTCCCCCACTTCGAAAACCGACACCTGACGGGCATTTCCCTGGCCCGGGGGCACAAACCGCGTCGATCACCCCTGAAAAAAAAGTTGATCGAGAAAAATGCGTGCGTGCATACCTGCGTCATCGGTAGTGGCGTGTAGGCGGTGTTTTTGTATGTGTGGGTGGAGCCCAATTTGCCCTCGCTCGCTAAGAAAATTTTATAAAGGTTCCGGAAATAATGAGACCGTTTTATGCGCATTTTCTTGGTTAGGAGCAGCAATTGGGCGTGGCTTCGCAATGCTTATGATCAGAAAAAAAACAAGAAAAAGTTACTGCAAAATAGACGTACGTATTTGCGTAATCAGTAGTGGCGTGTAAGCGTTAATTTTGCAGGCGTTTGTGGGCCTGGATTGCTTTTACCACCGCATAATTTTAGTCGTGACTACGCCCGAATCCTTATAACGCTTTATTCGAATTCTACAGCAAATAGTATTGATTTTTTGCTCTATTAAAAGAAATAGAATTACCGGATGAATCATCAAAAACAGTGGTAATAATGCCGAGTTTGATTTGAGCCCATTAGTGCAGCGACTGCATTGATCGATAAATCTCGTCGATGCGCTTCTGCGGATCCTCGCCCGGCGTCAGGTGGACGGTTGAGGAAATGGTGGTCACGTCTTTGGGGCCTAAACTTGAGTTTTGAAGGGAGCCTGAAAGTAAAAAAATATAAAACTTTTTAGGGCGTAGGCCTTTAAAGGCTTAAAAAAACATAAAAATACTTTAATCCGGAGAAACCTCTGAATCATACCTTTCTCATAGTGCATCCCGGTGAAGATGTTCGACTCATTCCGGGGATTAAAAATCTGGTCCGGATCAATAGCCTCACGGGGCTTCGATGGAGCAGTAGTGTGGATGGTTTTGGTCGTACTGTAGCCTGAGCCATAGCCGGTAGTAGGGCCAGAAGTGTGAGAGGTCGTGCTCCTCATCGTGTTGTATCCGGGGGAAGGCTCTGGAAATTAATGCCGTAGTCGGTTGAGAATTCCGGGGAGAATTTACCATGGACCCTGTCATAGGTTCCAGAATGGCGTTGCTCATATGCTCCTGAATGACGTTGATCATAAGCGCCTGAGCTTCGATTATCAATGGTCGATGTTCGGCTAGTCGGCCTTGGTGGCAGGGCCCCAGAGCCCTGTGTAGAGGTACGGTAGCTGGAAGCGGTGCGCGTGACTGGCGGCTCGTTGAGGCCGCTGACCACGCTGGAGTAGGCGCTTGCGTCACGGCCTAAAAACCGTTAAGTCAACTTTTGCAGATGATAAACTAGTCATAAAACGCATTACAAAGAAGCAGATACCTGTAATACCCTCTCGGGCGACACGATTCGGGTCGAACGGCGTGGCGCTGGTGTTGAAGTTGTTCTGGCCGTTGCGATTCTGAAAAAGTATTGGTAGAGCCTTAATAAACCTTCCTAAAAACCTTTAGGTGCCAAAAAATTAAGGAACCTACCAACGATTGAGTGGTGTAGGCGCTGTGAACCTGGCGAGACTGAGCGTGATCACCACCCAGTCCGTAGCTCTGAGCCGCACCAGCAGATGGACGATCCACCGATGAAGCTCGGTAGTTCGGGTCGATGGTCACTCGCTTTTCAGAAGGACCCACGCTAAAAAACTCGAGCTCCAAATTTTTGAGCTTGACCACCTCCTCCTGATCGAACCCTTCCGATCCAGGGTGCTGTAAGGAGATGGACGTCCGCTGGAGAGGGCTTCCCAGCCTAAATTACCAGTAAAAAAATCAGGTATTATAGAGGAGTAATAAGGTGCGAAATGCTGAAAATCACCTCCGGGCGGCGCTCCAACATGCAAATTCTCGATGCTCAAGTTCAGATCGCTCTGTTTGCCGTAGGTACGGTTCCACTGGTCCATGTCAAAGTCTGTAAAACGCTAATTAAACTTTATTAATCTAATCCATTTTCAATCGTATGGTGATCTATATTATTCCTTATCTTTATCACGAAGGTTTTATCGAAAAATTTTAGGCTACTCACCAAGTTTCGGCGCCCGGTGGTACGTTTCTGTACGCTCGTAGTCGACCTCCTTGTCGCGATTGGGGAGCTGAAATAGCTTTTTTTACATTTTTGAAGTCATTCTCACGCCAAACTTCTGGCTCAAAGTTTGATAGCCATCCTCCACATCGACCGGATACCCGATACGATTCCGGATCGTGCCGTAACGGCTTGGAGTTGGGGATTTTGTGAAGCGATCCCGGGGTTCTAAAAAACGTATTCTTTCTTATAAAACTGAAAAAGCTATTTACCCTCCGGGGGTCGATCCATAATTTTCAAAAGATGCGCATTCTCTTCGATATACCTAAAAAATTGAAAAAAATTGAATGATTTCCGCGTTTAAACGATAGATACTCCGCGTTAAAACTGACCTGTTCAACTCGCGCAGCTGGTTGTTGCTCAACTCGTCCTGGTTGACAAGGTCGACGCCATTGATGATGACTTTGTCCTGAACATTGTTACTTTATTTTGGCACTTTGTAATTCCGCTTACCGTGCAATCACGACCTAGTCTGACCGCCATGATGAGCGCTAAACGGTGAATGAAATCGTAGAAAAAAAAAACCGGAAGCCCAAACTATGAGGATGAACCGGTAATTCAGACAGTTAAACTTTTGAACGATTTTTAAAGCGAAAAATCGGCTATTTGAAGGTGTAAAAACCACCCGATCCCTAGAGATCTATAGAAAATTCCATATATCTATAACCAACCAAAAAAGATTAAAAAAAATAAACAATCAATGCCCAAAAATCAATGCTTCTCGATGGCAATGCCAGGTGATCCTCTGGCTTTCGGGGGGCCCGCCGGGGGCAAACAGCCACCGACTTTTCCATCGCCCTCTAACCCCCCATGAAAAGGAGGGGAGACGCGGATTTTTGGAGCATCTGTTCAGCTCAAAGAGGCTTCTCCCTTTTCTTCAGTTGCTTTTTGCCGTCATTGTGAGCCAAGATCGCTCGAGCGGGGGGATAGCGTTGCACTTTTTTGCGCTGGCGATTAGATAAACATAAAGAAATGATACTTTAAAGAAGCTTTATAATAATTCTGCTCAAATTTAAAGCTTCAGCGCCCCTTTGACTTGAAAACCAGCAATTTTTACTAAATTTTACTGTATTCAGCGCCATATAGAGCAGAATTTTACGTAATTTTTGCGGTTCTTTAGGATTCCCGGGGGGGGAAAGTATTCCCGGGGGGGGAAACCAATTTTTTTCCTGGTTTTCCCGGTTGACCTAGTAATCAAATATAAAGTGTTTTCGAATTGTTTTTAGTAAGTTTCAAGTATATTTAAAGCAGAATAACTTTCAGAAAAATTTAGAAAAATGTTTGAAAAAGTCGAAAATTTGGTCATTTTGGGTCTATTTTTCGACCTAATTTTTAATTTTTTACATTTTTTTGGTTAAAATGTGTGTAGTTTTTATGCACAGGAATAGTTAAAAACAGTTTAGAAACGCATCCGCAATTTATACAAAAATCTAGGCTTTCGCCGAAAAAAATTTGTTTTCCCCCCGGGAATACTTTCCCCCCCCGGGAATCCTAAAGAACCATTTTTGCTATTTACTGCACATTTTTTGGCCTTAAAAGCTTTGCTTCGCATAAATAGTAAAAAAGCTTTTATAAAAACATTGTAGATCCTAGCAACACAACCGTGTAGATAAAAGCGTCTATGACCGTGGCACAAAAGCTCCTCCATCACCTAAGCTATTGTTTTGATCACCCCTCTGTTTGATCGCAACCCATCCTGATCGCGACTTTCCACCCTACCCAGTCCATTCATTCCGTCTTCCGCTCCACCGACAAAAATACCTCCCCCAGTGCCCCCGGGAAAGGGCCAGCCGCCCGGGGCCCAGTGGCCCATTTCGCCCCAAACAACCCCCGACCCGTGTGCTGTGTAATCCCTGAACTTGAGCCAAAAATTCCGACCCCGCCAGTGTGCCGGATGTCGGCGAGGGCACGTCGAAAAATCGCCGAGTAAATGAAAATTTTTGTAATCACTTTCTAACTTGGCTCGAAATCACAAATGTAGCCATAATACTTTATCTATCGCCCAGAATACTGCGGGGTAGAGGCCGTATGGTAGTGAGAGATCCTAACACAGATGCAATTTCCAAAAAAAAACACACGCAGGGTAATATGCACTTTCGAGAGGGGTCACATACACATAGCACAAAAGCATGATATGGATGAGAACCTGAAATCATAAAAATTGGGAAGAGGGGTAGGTAAAGCGCACCGTTGAATCGGGGAAATATCACACAGAGACGTTTGGAAAATCGTTGTATCAAGAGAGCAGGCTGTGACCGGGACAAAATGACAAATTGAGAAGCCACCGGGCACGAATTCTAAGCGAGGAAAGGGGACCTGGTTTACTTAATTGTCGATGGCCGTCAGGTAGTCGTTGATCGTGGAGAAGATGTCCTGGGCGTTGTCGGGGTTCTCGGAGAAGAGGGCGAATTCTTCCAGGGTTTGGCCGCCGCATTGGTGTCGGAGCTGAAACAAAAATATTATAAACAATCTGATCGGCAGAGCTTACCAGTCCAGCGAGTGTCTCCTTCTGAGCATCATCGAGTGCCTTCACGCGAGCCAGAACTTTCTAAAAACCATAATTCTCCAAAATAAACGGTTAACACCTTATAATCCGGGGTCGGCTCGTAAGCAAGGATGGCACCCATCAGCGCGCCGGCAAAAGCCCCTTTTTTGCCGAAGAGAAACGCACCTAAAAAAGTAAAATAAAATGAAACTAGACAATACCTATCAGTAATCCAATGCTTGTCGCGGCCACCTCTTGCAAGAGCATATTCCGACGGGCATCTAGCAACTAAAAATGAAAATATAACGCTTAAAAATACGTTTTTAACCTTATTAACATGGAGAATCCTGACGGCCGCGTCGATGAAGGCGTGAGGCATTTTACCTGGAATTGTAGGTATTAAAGGGAAAACCAGTAAATAAACACAGAAGAGCTATACAAATCCCACCAACCAGCTGGTGCTAGGCAACAAATAATCCTGTTCGCGCCTTGGAATGGGCCCGGATGCGGCCCAGGGCCATAAAATCAAGGACCCGGGGAGGCGAAGCCCATAATTTGGTTGAAAGCCAAGGGAATGCGGCAAGAATTTAATTCCCAGGTTCTGTTCTATTTCGCGGGGGGGAAAAAACTGTGCGGGGGGGAAATTTTCTTCGCGGAACCTTCCATCTTTTCGCTATTTTCTCAGGATTTTTGCAACGCCATTCGATAGAGCATCAAAAAATATACTAAGAGTTTTTGTTTTAGCTAAAAATATTGTAATATAAAAAAGTTATAGCAAAAACAAAAAAAAACTATTTAAACTGTTTCCGGAATGTTAGTTTTCGGCGTTTTCGCCATTTTTTTGATATTTTGAACCCGTCATTCGATAGAGCATCAAAAAATATACTAAGAGTTTTAATTTCATCTAAAAATATTGTTTTATAAAATAGTTAGAGCAAAAACAAGGTTTATTCGGTGTTTCCACATGGGATCGTGGAGACGAAAGCTAGTTTTCGACATTTTCGATAACTTTCAAAAATTTCTTTAATGCCATTCGATAGAGCGTCAAAAAATATACTAAGAGTTTTAATTACAACTCAAAATAGCATCATGTAAAAGAGTTATAACAAAACGAAGAAAATTCCCCCCCCGCACAGTTTTTTCCCCCCCGCGAAATAGAACAGAACCA